TTAAAAGTCTTTGAGCTGAAAACACCTAAATGTTGGGAGAGATGTTGAAGGAGTTGATGAACTTACCAAGGCATCAAACATTATGATTATAAGGTAAGAAATTTCCTAAATATAAAGCACATTTTTCAGTGAATACAGATACACTATTAAATAAATACAAAATCATTTAGAAAAGAATTGCACTGTTACTATTCCTTAGTATATTCTTTGGTCATCAAATGATCCTAAAATTATGAAACTATTGTTGTGGGGCTGAATTTGTGACATCTTTTTGTATTCTAAAGTGATCCTCGAACACCTTCTATACAGCTATATCAACAGACATAAGTTACAACTGATTTTTGAACATAGGTTTAGAATCACATGATTTCTGAGATCTGGTTCATTTTTCTACCTTAAGAATGAATTTTCTCAAAAAGTCCTAAAGAAATAATATCTAAGCATTACTTTCCTTTCTCTCTCATTTGTCTGTCAACCTTTGACTCTCCGCGTTTGAGCTTTTACTTTTTACATCTCATTGTGCAAAATATTTTAGGTCTTTAGTGACTGAGAATTCAGTACTACTAAGAGGTTATTCCATACTCCAAAGAGAACTCTTTTCTTTTTTCCCATTTCCACATCTGCTCCTTTTCAATGGTTGCTCACCCAAGAGCTCTCCCTAAAATTCTTGGAATATGGTTGACTCACAAATTCTGTTGGTTCTTTCTCTAAAATATACCCCAAATTGGTTCACTTCTGACTACCAACATGGTGGTGATGTGCACACCATCCCTGTCCCTTGGATAACTACAGTAGCTTCCTAATAGACCTCCCTGTCTCTCTCTTGCTCTCCCGTGATCTGTCCTCAACATGGCAGCCCATTGGGTCAGTACCACTCAACCACTCATTGCTCAATATCCTTTAACCACTTTCCATCTCACTCAAAGAAAAAGCCAAAGCCCCTCTAGCTGCCGCAATGCCTTATAGGATCCAGCCCCTGCTACTTTTTCTACTTCATGTCTCAAAACTCTCCTTTGTTTGCTGTGCTCCTGCTGTACTGGCTTCCTTGTAGCTTTGAACATGTCAGGTAGGCCTTCCTCCTCAGGGTCTTTGTGCAGGGCCTATTTTCTTAACACAGAGCACTCTTTACGCCTATATCCTCATGCACACTGCTGTGCCTCCTTAGCCTGTTAGAGATCTACCATGATCATCCTACTTATTATTGCTCCCTGATTTTCTGATTTCTGGTTTGGTGTACACAAAGCTTCGAAGTCATCTGGTACCAGCCCTGGTATACAGAAAGTGACATGGGGATGCTCAATAAGGGACAACCTGGGCAGTCCCTTTTCTCACTGAGCTTGCTGATATTAATCAGACTAGCCAATCCTAAACATACCCATCCTGCCCTGGCTGACTCACCTCAAAAATACAATGAATACTTGTGCCCTACTTTTCCCCTTCTCTCCATCTGTGTCTACCATCTGGGCCTTGTTTCTAGGGATCCGTGATTAGTAAACTTCTTCTTTCATCATGGTCATTTTTGTGTCTGCATTTCTTTAACCATACTTAATACAAAAACTAGGTACATTCTGAAACAATTGTCCTAGGGCCATTTGACACCAGGTGAAGATGATATGTCCTCAGAGACCTCAAGCTTGCTGGCTCTGCCCAGGAACCATAATTTCTCCTTTGAAAATCTTGCTTATTGTTGGCATACTTGGTGGTTGATGGCTATTACAGTGTGCTGTCTTTCTCAGGTATTGTCTTGAGTTCTCAAATTAAGATGGAGACATCTTCCCTGGGATGCTAGTGTAGAAAGTCATCTGTGAAAAAGTGCCTGGAGCACTCAACTTAGTTTTTCATGTTGACAGAGCTCCCAGAGTCCAGGAGAGAATACTTGAGTACTCTATCACTTTCTCAAAAAGATCCCCCCCAAAGACAAGAGGAGTGACTGCCTTCTTAGTGCTGTGGGGCAAGTCTAACCTACTGGCCTATCAACAATTCTTAGCACTAAAGGCAGTGCAGTAAACTATGTCATTTATCTGACAGTGCCTGGTGTCCTCTGTGTTACAGACTGCTGGGGCACTGGGTAGCCATTCTCTCTTCTCTTCCTGAGCTTTACTTAGTCAAATTTCTGTCATTCCACAGAGGAGTGAGATTGCTGTGCTTGATCACTAGCTCTAGTGTCTGGGTTATTCATGGATCAGTGTGACGGCCACCACAGGACCATGACACCCGCAAATACTGTTATTTAGGTTGTAACCTTCTCAGCTGTTGTCTCCTTGCTACTGTCTCAGTTTGTCTCCTAAGCAGTGGAATGTAGGACGTCCTATCCTTTTATAATAGTGACTCAATCTTTAATAAAAGAGGGTAACGGAAAAGAACAGCTGGTTCCATCTCTGCCCAAATTCAACTGGTTTTAAAAAGCATCATTTGCTAACCTGAGCTCACACTTAACTCAAAGCTGGTGCCCCCACTGCTGTCTTGGATACAGATTTCAGCCATCTGAGACCAAGGAGGTACCCCAGAAAGGGAGGTTGCTCCCCATAGCACAGGACACTCAAGACCATTAGCAGTTTATCAAGTAAATACTAAAGGAAAAATAAATGGTTGAAGGCAGACAAGATGCCTTAAAAAAAAAAAAACAAGGAAAAGAAAATATTTATATGCAGCTAAAACATACAAGCCATTAAAAAAATCATTTAAGGAAAACAATAAGGGGAAAGGATTAGATTGGAAAACTTGGCAACAAAAAGGCCGTCTACAAAACATACCATTGGGCCTACCCCACTTTTCCTGTAATGACCTAGTTGGCTTACCCTGTGAGTTATCACCCAGAAACAGAAGCTTAAAACAGCCCTGTTTAATGTGACTAAAAGCCTATAGCAGAAAAAATGGGGGATAGTAGTGGAAAGAAAAAGAAATGAAGGGGAGAAAAGAAGACAAACAAATAAATTATATATAATATGTATATATAAATAAACATATTACTGATACTATAAATAAAATGTTATCTGAATATCTTAATATAAACAAAATTAAATTAAAACAAAGAACCATAACTTGATTCCAGTGAAAATCCAAAATTTATATATATATATATATATAATTTATATATAATTAGTTTAATAAAAAGTTTAGAATATAAATTTCATATATATTTATATATATATATAAAATTTTATATTTTATATATCCCATTGCATAAAAGCATTTATATACTAAAAGAGTTTGCATGCAGATAAAAATTTACATACAAACAGAAGAGTTTACATACAGATAAAAAGATAAAATGGGTATTGATTGACTATAAAAAGTAAATTCTGAAATAACTTTGGCTTTTGCTAAAATGTATCAAATATATTGACAAAGCTTCAGAGATTTCTTAAATACTGAGGGTCAAATTATAATTATATCAGACATTTTCACAAAAATTAAATGCCCTTCCCATTATAATCATTCAATAATATAAAGTAGAAGAAAAATAATTATGCCTTGCTTTAACTATAGCCTCGCATAAATATATGTCATAATATCCATTAACTAAAATATCCCATATTGAACATAAATGTTCTAACATAATGAAAAATAAATCATTCACACTTGCAAATTATCTTAATAAATGAGACTGCATAGACTCCCAATTAAAACAGTTAAAATAGCCCAGTGTAATTTAAAATGGCCTTCAAGGGTCAAAACTTATATAAAACCTAATTAATAAATGAATAATTATCACCACTGCTTCTCTGCAGTCCAATTTTGCTTATTCTTAAATCTGAAAAGAAGGACTTCATGCTGTGTTGCTGCAATTTCAATGCTATGACCTCATCTCTTAAGGTCCCCAGACTCAGTATCAATATCATTAACATGACTGATTCTAACTAATCAACCAGTGACTGTTTTGTTATTACAGATTTGGCTGCTATGTTTTAGTCAATGCTTATTTCAGCAGCCTTCAGCCTTAGAGTATCCCTTCATTCCATAAGGGAGAGTATCCCTTATAAAATAAAGGGATACTCTCTCTCCAACCTTTCCAGGCTACCCACAGCCACCTTGACAGCTTTGCCCATCACACACAGTCTTTGAAGATTAAACATAAAACACAAAACTAAAATTCTCCTAGAAGATAACATAGCAGACCTTGGATTTGCCAATGACTCTTCCAATATACCAAAAGTATGATCCATAAAAGAAATGTTAGACTTCATTAAAATTTAAAAAGTCTGCTTCAAAAAAAGATAGTGTCAAAAGAATGAGAAGACAAGGCTCAGACAGGGGGGAAACACATGCCTGATAAAGAACAGTTATTCAAAATAAACAACAAAAAACAACCTCTTAAAACTCAACAATGAGGAAATGAACAATTCTCTCAAAATTAAGAAAAAATACCTGAATGAACATATAACCAAAGATTTACAGATGACAAATAATCATATGAAAAATATTTCACTATGCTTTATAGGAAAATTAAGACAACAATGAGATACCAGTGCACACCTATTACAGTGGCCCAAATCCAAAACAACGACAACACCAAATGCTAACAAGGATTTGGAGCTACAGGAACTCTCATCTATTGCTGATGGATATGCAAAAACTTAACAACCATTCTGGAAGACAGTTTGGCAATTTCTTACAAAATTAAACATACCATCATGTTCTGTGGTATTTACCCAAATGAGTTGAAAAATTATATCCATAAAATACCTATACATAGATGCTGATAGGAGGTTTATTTATAATTGATGACACTTGGGAAAAACTAAGATGCCCTTCAGTAAATGAATGGATGACCAAACTATAGTATATCCCAACAGTAGAATATTATTCAACATCAAAATGAAATAAACTCCCACACCTTGAAGCAGAGAATTTTTAAATACATGATACAAAGTGAAAGATACCAGTCTGAAATGATTGCATTCTGGATGATTCCAACCACATGTTATTCTAGAACTATCAACACTGTAAAACAACACAAAGGTCAGTGGTTGCCATGGATTAAGGGGCAGGGAGGAATGAATAGGAGAACCACAGAGAAGGTTTAGAGCAGGGAAATTCTTCTGTGTGATAATATACAGATGTCTTTATACATTTGTCAAAACACATGGAAGGTATAATACTAAGAATAAACTAATGTAAACTACGGATTTTAGGTAATAATGATATTTAATGTAGTTTCATCAAGTTTAACAAATATACTATTTCAAAGCAAGATGTTGGTAATGGGAAGGTTGTGGGGGTGAGAGGCATTATGGGAACTCTGTACTTTTGTTCAATTTTGCAGTGAACCTAAAACTGCTCTAATTATAGTCCATTTAAAAGAAACTGATACCTACCCTAACATCCCCTGTTCTCCGGATTCTCTTTCCTTTTCTATTTTTAGTTTCTTCATAGTTTTTATTATCTTGTCACAAACTATATTATTGATAAGGTCACATCTCATTAGCCTATAAACCCCATGAGAACTGTGATCTTGTGCCGTTTTGTAAAATGATGTATTATACAGTGAAGAGAACAGTAGTGCCAACAAGCAGTTAGCAACTATTTAATAAATATTTGTGTAATGAATTAATTGTATATGGAACTAGTACTATTTACATCTATTTGTATTAGGGTTCCCCAGAGAAACAGAACCAATGGACTGTGTATAGAGAGAATTTTAAGGAGTTGGCTCACACAATATGAAGGATGGCAAATCCAAAATCAACAGGGTAGGTTGGCAATCTGGAGACCTAAGGAGAAGCTGATATTACACCTAAAACTGAAAGTCCATCTGCTGCAGAATTCACTCTTTCTCAGGTGAGGTCAGGCTTCTTGTTCTATTCAGGTCTTCAGATGATTAGATGAGGCTCACTCACATATGGAGGGAATTTATTTTATTCAAAGTCCAAAAATTTAAATGATAACCTCATCAAAAACCACTTTCACAGAGCACCAAATTCATACTGTTTTACAAAACACCTATCCCTGATCCAGGCCAGGTGGCACATAAAATTCACCATCATACTGTTCATGACTTATTTAGTGCCTATGGCTCTTAGGCACTGAGCATCTCAGTGCCTAAATTGCTATATATTTTATTAATTTTGTCCTCCTAATTTATGCCAACTATATCTAATCTTTTGTTCTATTTTACAGTGTTTAGATTTTGGAAAAATGAAGATCATATGACCTCAATGTTTTTTTTCTATTCTTTAAAAAGGAGTAGTTCAGTAACACTATGATTCCCACAATAAGCACATTTCAGACTGCATGATAATAAAGCAGCAACAATTTGTACATGAACTTTTCATGGAATTCCCAGAATGGATCACTTATTCTATCATGATACATCATTGTAAAACAGAACAGGATAATTAGTAGCTATTTTAAAGGGTAAAAGAAAAAATCACTGAATTCAGCATTGAAAAAAAAAAGAATGTTATTGATGAAATTGGATGTTTAAAAGGCAAATAAAAAAGATTATTTGAAAGACACACAAGTTGTTGATTAAAACTGATTTCAACATAGGTAAAAAATAATGTGTCAATTAGTTCGTGTCAGCAATGGAATATTGGAAAAAGTCACATCAAAGACAAATATGAGACAATGTCTCTCCAGCATACATAAAGGAAAAATGCCCTGGCCTTCAGACTTGACATCTTCAGGCCCTATAACAAATATTCCCTAAGTCATACTGGAATAATATGTGCAGTGATCAGGAGTGTTGGAGATAGACCAGCCTTCCTTAGTGCAATATGAATCCAAGCTGTACTTATGCTATGCTAGCAGATGTGTCAGATAATTAACCCATTTACAACTCAATTTTTTATATGAAAAATGTCATTGATGAAAATATTTACCATATATAGGGTTATTGCTGGGATTAAGCAAATTATTGAGTAATTTCTCAATAAATGTTAGTTATTAATTGAACTTTTGGCTATTAAAGCTATGAGTTTATTGTACTGGCATATTTTTTTGCATGTTATATACCCATGTCACTAGGTAATCTTAAAATGAGGATCAAGAAAACGTAATAATAGTATTTTTATGTGTTTTAGTAACTGGGCTAGAATTCACCAAATAGCAAGTACTAGACAAAATAATTTTTAAATTTATTAAAAATATATTTTGATTTATCTTCCCAACTAAATCTGCTTATATATAATACATTAGTTTTCTGATTACACATCTGTTTTATAATCTTGATTTCAATAACAAAAAAATAACTTATAGGCATTTTATGGAAACGAGAAAGGAAAAAGAAGATAATCATGAAAAGTTACAGAGAATAAAAAATTTGAGACTAACTAATCAAGTCCTATTTAAGGTCGAGAGGCTGAACACCACAGGAGGGTTGTGTTTAGATCCTGCCTTTATCTACTTTTAATGAAGTACAAATTATTTATAATAATTTTATGGATTTGTGTCTGACCTCATATTGGTCCTACTATTATTCTAAGAAATGTCTATATTATCGTTTTATGGAGGATTTCACTACCTAACTCCTATGCTTGAGAAGAATCTACAGCAATCTGTCACTGAATTTGTGGAATAGAAAAGAAGCAGCAGTAACTTTGAGGAGGCAGAAAAATCTTCCAGCAAGCAATTAGGAGAATTAAGTTCTAGTCTGTGCTGAGTCACGTCCAAGAGTGGACTCCATTCCCACGCCTGTAAAATGATGGAATTCGAACTTTAATAAAACTATTTGTGGTCTCCACTTCCTAGGGTTCTACTACTCCATTTAGGAAACACTCTTCAGAAAGACATGACATCTAAACTTTTAAGGACTTTAATGAGCTCAAAAAGAAACAATGGCTACATTTATGATTGTTGGAACAAATCACCACAAGGTTGGTGGCTTAAAACAATGCACGTTGTTCTTCTGTAGTTTTGGAGGCCAGGAGTCGAGATCAGTTTCGCCAGCTGTGGAGTCTAGTATTGGCAGGGCTAGCTTCCTGCCAACCTTCCTCCTGTGGAAGGTCTGGAGAAGAATCTATCTATCTCCTTACCTTTTCTAGCTGGTAGGAGCTCCCTGCCTTTCTTGGCAGGCATGTCTCTCCAACCTCTTACTTTAGTCATCATGTTTCTGACTTCTATGGTTAAATCTCTGCTTCCCTCTTATAATGATATTTGCAATTACCCTGAGGGCCCATGAGGATCTTCTGGGATAATCTCTCCATCTCAAGATCCTTAACTTAATTACATTCACAAAACTCCTTTCACCATATAAAGGAACATTCACAGGTTCCAAGTACTGTTACCTAGATCTCTTCAGGGAACTCTGTTCAGCTTTCCACCAAGAGCCACTACAGGAATCCAAAAGGGAGGGAAAGAAAAGCTAGAGATCCATGGGCATAAGATTATGAAAGATTTAAAAAGTCAGTAGAATTTTAAACAGGAACATGGTGGGGGGGGGGAATGACATCGGATGAAATCTAGTGTTGAGAAGGATATACGAATATGAAATATAAACTTTTTCCTCACATTATTTTGACAGTGTTTGGGACATCTTTGGGGAGAGTCATTTAACAATACCTATCTAAAAATGCATCATAACATTTAGTCAAATAGCTTCACTCTTTTAAACAATCTTACCCACAAAAACATGACTGTTCTTATAATTAAACTTTGTTAATAATAGCAAAACTTAAAGATTCTGAAAGACCCACTGATGGAAAGCTAGTTCAATACATTCTTGTATGGACTCGCAAAAAAAGTACTCATCAGCATTTAAAATAAATGATGTAATGAAAATACTTACAAAATATACTATTAATTGGCCAAAGCTAAGATACAGGGAGGTGATCGATTTCAAGCAATATTATAATAAATTATTTATAAATTGGAACTGGCACTTGTTTTCTAGAACTATATATAAGAAATGTACATATACAAAATGTACATATACCCCAAAGCAATGCCCCAATGACCCACCTCCTGCAGCCACCCACTACCTGCCTATAGTTACCAACCAGTTAATCCCTATTAGAGGATTAATGCATGGATTAAGGCCCTTATAGCCCAATCATTTTGTCTCTAAAAGTACTTGCATCTTCTCATACATGAGCTTTTGGAGGACACCTCATATATAAATCACAATAGTTGTTTCCTTTATGCCTTAAATTTTTCCTGTTCAGTTAAAAACTTTTTGCCATGTACCTATATACTTTAGTAGTTAAAAGTGCAGCCTTGGATACCAATTTGTCAGAGTTTAAATTGTGGTATACTAAAGGTAAGCCAGCTACCTCTCTGTGCTGGTTTCTTTGACTATAAAAATACCATAAAATTGCTTTATTCATAGATTTTGATCAAAGGATTAAGAATAAATTCATAAGAAGTTAACAGAGATCTTGCCATGTTGTTAGTTCCTAAAACATCATCTATTATTGTCTATTTCTTTTGTTTCATCAAAGTCAATAAGTGCTATTTAGGCAGTTAAACTATACTGTTTTTGTTTCCTTAGAATAATTTCTGTATTTTAAGAAAAGCCTACTCAAATCTATTTCTTTAAAAATTGGAATAAATTTTCTTGGGTTTAGAGAGTAAATGGAACTTGTTACTGATATTTGGGCAGAGGAAGCTCATAGCAAAAAAAACATAGATGACACTTTTCTAGTCTTATAGTTTGTAAAACACTTTCAGGAATCATTTAATGTTTGAGGGGAAAGCCTTGCCAATAGAACGCAGGTAAATGGAAAGGTAGGTTGGTGTTCAACAGGCCAGAGGAGGGCTGTTATCAAATGCAATGTGAGATAATGCCAGTCTCAACTCTGGTGGTGGAAAGTAGGGGAGAATAAATGTGGGCAGAAACAAGAGCTGGAAATTAGTTGAACAAGGTGATGAAAGAAAAGGCATTTCCAGTATGGGGCTCTGTTAGAAAGATGGGGTTAGTAACACAGACATTTTGGTGGCCGACAGAAAGGGAGAGTCAGAAACTCAGGAATGGGATTATGATGAGCTTGCACTGGACATTATTATTGAGAGGTTATGTAATTAGAAATGAGTGGATAAAACACCAAAATCATGGGAATCAAATAAAATGTTAGGACAAAGAGAGGGCTCTTCTATAGAACCCAACATAATGTTTTTAAATCTTGGAGCTAAATTACATTTGACTTGAACCTTTGAAGATCTCACCTAAAGATACCAGGTTGAACTGCTGTGTGATCCAATCAGTCACAACATGACACCCAAATCGGTCGACTACCTTGAGTCTTGATTCCCTCATTCATAAAATGGGGTGATGAAGCTACCATTTAAAAACTGTTGTTCTACTAACAAGTTAATATTTATGAAATTATTAGATGGGGCTTAGACACTCAGAATGTTTTAATGGGGTGAGCATGGGGTAGAGATGTGTGTCTTTACTTCCTTCTGAGGTAGATTCTTCAACTAGTCATCTCAGTAGTTCAGACAAATTTACTGTGTATTTGATTTGGACTGTTGCTAGGACTAGGGAAGCAGGGTTTTGAATAATCAAGAGTTGTTGTCCTCAGTAAGAAAGTTCAGGAAAGAGACCCAGTGCTGTTCCTTTCCTTGGCAGATGTCATAACACAGGGTGGTTCTATTACCTAATTTGAACCCGAGCCATCAGCTTCCTGGAAAGTTAAGTGTCCACATGTGAAATCAGTGTTGTTTCCTTCTGCTGAGGCCTAATGGTTAAGTGTAAGCATGTTTTATACAATTAGCCAAATGTTTGGGCAGCTCAAAGATGGTGACGCCTTCTGATCCTTGTCAAGGGAATTTGGCAATTTGATCTCTGCCTGAAGTCACAAGGAAAGGAACTCAGCAAAACCTAAAGAAACTCAAAGACACTGGAAGAGGGGAGATCTTTTTTTTTTTTTCTCTAAAAAATTGATTAAGCACAATCGTTTCCAGCCCTTACTAAAATTTCCCACATGTAAAATTCCCAAAACGAGACAATCAGACATCACAATGTGAGAAACAAGGAACATAAATCTCTTATCTGTTGACAAGAAAATGACTCAACCTATCCATGCTATATTCCCTTCAAATATGACAAGAGTCCAATGAAGCAATCCCGAGTGACGTATGTGTGTGCACACACACCTACACGAATTCAAATAAGTATATAAGTGTAAAAGTATGAACATTTTCAAATACTTCCTGTATCTTCGATCTCTAATTCCATTGTATCTGAATTTCCTATTCGATTTCTAAGATTCACCCAAACATCCATGTTCCTTAGCTCCCAGGCAGATAGATAGCCATGATAATAGTGGATGATAGCAAATTTCTCTACCTGTGGGAATAAACTAAGAAAGTGTGAATGTCTGAATCAGATTCATTGTGAACTTAAGAACAGAAATGCCCTGTTATCAGGCAGCTAGGGGAGACTAGGAAGGAGAACCAGCTCTACATCAGAAGCTATGAGACCTGGGTTTCAGGCTGGAATCTACCACGGCATGATGCTGCCT